GGGCGCTTCCTCCTGGGCCACGGTCTGCTGGCCGTTGGGCTTCTCTTGCTTGAAGTAGGTGAGCTGCATGCTGGGCAACTGCTCCTGGTGTGCTGGAGAGACAACAAGACGTCTTTGATCGGCGATGCGGGGGGGGATACCTCTTCCGCGAGCAGGCTGAGCTAGGGGCCTCTTGCAAGCGTGGGCGAGGGGATGAGAAGAAGGGATGAGGATGAGGAGAGAGGAGTCAGTGTGAGGTTGAGGCGGGGACCCCAGGTCTAGATATACAGAGAAGGGGAAGAAAGGTTCTGCCAGGGGGGAGCAGGCCATGAGCACGGGCATGCGGACCGGCCTTCAAACCCAGATCACCATTCAGGACGCGAATGGCACGCGGTCTCCATCGAGCGAGACAACCTTGCCACAACATGTTCAATTAACCTGCAGGAGGGTAAGCTTTGCCAAGTACCCTGCATGGAACAGGGGTGGCATCCGGCAGCAAGGCTAGAATACGGGGCCTGGGGCGCTGGGCGACAATCCGGCAAAAGTCGACGTCGATGAACGAACGAAAGGATGAACGAGCCTGATGCCACTGACATGGATGGGGGTGGGTGCCGTGAGAGGAGCAGAGGCCAGGGGCGCGCTGGGGGCGAGCCGGCGGTGGCTAGCGGCGGCGGCCGGGCGGGCGAAAGTGAGACGAGACCAATGATGTCCGAACCGACCCCAAACCTCCACGCGAGGGTGCTCCGAAGCACGATGCGGAGTGTCAATTGCACTTGCACACCCCTGAGGTGCGCCAGAACAAGACGACCGCCCACAGCGGAGGCAACGGAGCCAGCGCCCGATGTGACGTGGATCCGCGTACTTCTTCGCAAGACATCACATGCCCAAACACTCGGAGCTCCGTCAAGCTGGAATTGCAGCAATCGCAAGCCATTTTGTCTATGGCAGATTTGGACCAAACGCGATGGCTAAGCATTTTGACCAAGAAATCCTGATGCTGGGGATGGTCCACTTTGCTGCTTTGCCGTAGGGCAACGGACGTCGATCCATCTCTTGGGTTTTTCTTGGAGTTGCCTTGGCTTCGTACGAAGAACATTATCGGAGAGGTCGAGAAACGAGAGGGGAGAAGAGGGAGTCATGTGCCGAATTAGGACGAAGCGTGTTTGCTGTGCTGCCGCACCAACTTCGCATCGTGCATTACCGCTGGCGACCGCTTTCTGCTTGCTGTGCAAGACACCCACACAGTCCTTTCCATGGTGTATGATGGCTCCATTTGGTGGGGTGAAGAAGAGAGTGGGTGTCCACGTATACAGGTCCTGGGGATTTTGTCCGGGGACTGGGGGTCTCTGCGGGGAAGTAACACCGAGGACGGCCTGCGAGTTGGCTTTCATGACTGGCGCCCTGGCTCAGGCTTGTTGCAACCAACCGTGGTTCGTCTGACAGCCTTTGATGAGTGGCAGACAAGCAGCCCCTGTTTAGCATTGAGGTGACCACATTCAAGGAGCGCCTTCCGAAGCCGAAGGAGAAATGCCAAGTCCAATCGTAAGTAGGCTCATGTCGAGCGAATCGGCGACGTGCCATGTGGCAGCCCAGGTAGGCGTTGCTCTGGCCTTGACGCGTGCACAGTAAGTACCCTTTCAGAGCTCGGAACCTATCCAAGAAACTTCGCGAGACACACCATCTGATGTGGTATAGTTCAGCCAAGCCGGGTTGTAGGCACGTTAGGCAGCCTGTGCCTTTCGGACTGGTGGCCTCGACGATATGAACGGCGAAGGTGTTGGTACAAACCATGGAGTATGCACTGCTCGAGGTGGCCTGCCATGGAAGGGTGGATCGAGAGATCAATCGGGCCTCAGTAGCTGGTGCTCCCAGAGGCCATGGCTATTGGTTTCGGTGGCCCACCCTCTAAACGAGCTGAGACGGCACAGCTGTCATGTTGTTGCGTGTCGCATTTCATGACCAACTTATTGGGTATTGTCCTGGCCGCCTGAAGAGGCTTCTTCCTTCTAGAGCTTTGGACGGGTGTTGATTATTCAGGCGTGTCGCCTAATACCACCCCTCGCTGTACCATGTAGGCCATCGTCTGCTTCAGTGACGGCAAAGCTGTACGGATTGACAGGCTATCCTTGATTCAGGTAAAAGAGCGTGCAGGTGACATGCCAAAACGCCCTGTACCGAGTCCTGCGTTGACACGGCAGACCACCCGGGCGCTCGCTCTCCACTCCCACCACTAACGCCCCCCCGCCCCAGATTTCAATTTAGCCTGAAGCCGGCTAAGTTCACACATCGACAGGAGCCGACAAGGCATTGCCTGTAGGTGGGGGGCTCAGCACCAGGGTGGGAGAGAGGCGCCAAGCGCTCGTAATGCCGTTGGGCGTTGGCATTCAGCCGGATTGTATCGTCTTTTCTTTCCAGCGGGGAAGGCTTTTTAAACTCGGCAATATGATCCAAATCGGGGGGGGGAGGGGAGGGGCCGGGCCCTCCCATGATCCGAAAGGGTGCCGCCGCCGGTTTTGGGCCTGTCAAGCTCGGCGCGATCAGGAGAAGAGCCGGGCATTCTTCGCCCTGGCCAACTCAAGCCAAATCTAGGTTCATTTGCCCTTGATGGTACGCAGTTGGCCTCAGAACCATGCTGGACTGGTGAGTAGAAGCCAAGAACACCGATGGGATGCCTCAATGTAGCACAGGCCGGTCGCAAGGTCGAGGAACCGAGGCTATCCAAATTGGTTCCAGCAGGTGTTTCCTTGGCTACTGCTTGGCCGTTGCTTGTTGCTGACCGACGTTGCTCGGTCTCGGTAGCTCCCATGTGGGCTGGAGGAGCCTCGGGGTCCACTGAACAAAGATCTTGCCCCGGTGTGGGCGTAGGCAAGGCACGAGCACGCACAAGCACAATGCAGGAAGTGAGGGCCGAAGTTCCTAGGTCACATAGAAGGATGGTTTGGTGCGTATTGACCGTGTGTTGGCCTCGGTGAGACACCAGCAGTTGCAGCTGTCTCTCTTCCTTTTCTTGCTTTCAGCCTCTCGTTCGGCCATGAATCGTGATGCTCGCTAGAGGAACATTGATGGGTGCAAGTTTGGGTTCGAATGCTGTAATGTCGCGTGGAGGAGGCACAGATGATGACTGGGGTTGAATTTAGGCTGGGAGGATAAACAGCCCAAAAAATGGGCACCTGTTTTGGGGTACAATGTACAAGCCAATCCACCAGGGTAAATCTTGTCAAGTACACCCGGACTGTGCCTTCCCTGGCGCCTGCCCAAGCACTCGCTCCTGGGGGCCGAGTCAGGTGACGGCAACTGCCTGGCACCGTCAACACCACCATGTAAGCCTTTTAGATCAAAGTTCGATCATGTCGTTTCACGGCGATCGAGTCAAGGCCCAGATTCATGGGGATTCCGGGTTGTGTGTCACACGAGCTCAGCATCTTGTCAAAAGCATGTGTGCCTCGCTGGCTGTGGTTGCATGGCACAGCATCAGCCCTGTCCTATGTTCCATCACATAAGTTACAGCCCTATTTTCTCCTTGGGAACATGCCCTCAGATACGAACTCACAGATGTCTTTTCTTACGTGAGCTCGCAATCGATGGTTAACTGCAATCCCAATGAGAGACGCCCTGAGTGGAAGCTCCTTTGAGTACTATGCATTC